AAACACACCACCCAGCCCCTCCTCCCCCGCCACCCCAAAACCCGACACCCCCCTAAGAAAAATCATAAAGCACCCCTCCCCCACCCAAAGTTCTGTTTTTTTCCGGTTTTCGGTCCCGGGAGGTACCCCCCGCCATCGGCACCCCCCTCCCGCCTTCAGACTTGGGGGGGACCCCACGGAAGGCCCCCGAAAAGGGTTGTATGTCTGTTCGTACGGCCCGTACGAACTCCTGGGGGGCTGTATGTACGGCCGTTCCGGGCGTATGGATGGGCGGTACCGGTTCGACCGGCCGACATAGCCACCCAGTGCATTTTTGGTGTAGACCCAGGGCCTGGGAGAGTTTGTCCAACGTGGCCATGACAAACGTGCTGAGTGAAAGCCCCGCGACCAAACTGCTTTCTTTATTTTTTTTTTGCCCTATCTGAAACTGGAAGCCTGACACAGCCGCAGTTGTTTCAAAAAGGAAAAACAAAATAATTATGGCCTGAGACTCTGGAGTCTGGACATTATTCGGCAATAACTTCTCTTTGATGAGTTGCAGAGGCATTCCAACAAGCCGGACATGGACAGGAAGTCAGAGACTGACCTGCATCGGTGCTGCGTTTCAGGTGACAACCATTCCAGGCGTTCTGGACAAGCTAACCAAGTGCAATGAAAGCCTTGAGGTCATTCAGAAAGGACTGAATCAGTATTTGGAGACAAAGCGGCTTGCTTTCCCACGGTTCTTCTTCTTATCGAATGATGAGCTGCTCGAGATTCTATCGGAGACAAAGGATCCTTTGCGAGTCCAACCATTCCTGAAGAAGTGTTTTGAAGGAATTCAGACATTGGAATTCAAGGAGAACCTAGATATTGTTGCTATGAACAGCATGGAAAAGGAGAGAGTGGAGTTCACACGGACAACAAACCCGAGAATGGCGGGAGGAATGGTGGAGAAATGGCTGATCGAAGTTGAGAAAATGATGAGGGAGAGTCTCAAGGTATTCAGTTAACTTACTGCACCCCTTTCGTCTGAAGGATTTGTGTGAGGGAAGGCATAAAAGATTCCTATTCAATGTCTTAAAAGACTCTTAAATTCTCTAGAAGAAATATTCACTGCATGCCAGTTCTTGCACAACCGTAACATACTGTCATACGTATGGAAGTTTCTGATGTTTGCTCTCTCTCTCTCTCTCTCTCTCTCTCTCTCTCTCTCTCTCTCTCTCTCTCTTTTTTTTTTTTTTTTTGGCCAAGATATATGGACTCATGCGCAGTGTATGAGCGATCCCTGTCGAACCGTGCTTCATGTTCCTTGGATTTTTTTCAAGAGTTTTTCTTGGATTTGAACCATGGCAGCGATCCGGACTACCAGATAGGGATCCGGCCCGTCTGGTGTCCGGTGGCCGGTGCCGGTCCGGATTTGAGAGCTTTTCGCCGACGGCCAAAAACAAATTTGGCGGCCCAGGGCGTTTCATCATGCCCTGGGCTACCCACCAAAACAGGGGCCAATTTTTCTGCGTGTTTTTTTTTTGTCCTTTTTTTCTTGTGGCCGTTTCCTCCTCGTTGTTTCCTCATCGTTTCCCTGTCGTTTCCTCGTCATGGTCTTCTTCCTCCTTTCTCCTCCTCCTTCCGCCTCCTCCTCCTCCACGGCTTCGTCTTACTTCCACTCCTCCTCTTCCATATCTTTGTCCTCCTCCTGCTCCTCCTCCTCCTCCTCCACGTCTTTCTACTCCCCTCCTCCTCCACGTCTTCGTCCTCCGTCCTCCACGTCTTCTTTGTCCTTGTCCTCCTCCTCCTCTCCATTCTCCTCCTCATC